CTTTAATGCCGAGGGAGCCAGCAATTACGGAAATAAGGAAGAAATGACCCACAGGTAGCAGGGAAAAAACAAAAATCAATCTCTCTTGTAATTTTCTGTCATAGCCAGGCTACTAGGAAATAAATTTGTAGGTTTTTTGGCCTTTCTTTTAGGCTGTTCTGGTGCTGCTCTGCTTTACCTGCGAAGATGCTAAACCAGATTCAGGCACGTTACTGAAAATTCTTGAGCATTTTTTCTCCATTCCTCATGTGATTTAATGGTGGCGACCAGGTAACGGGCAGCACGCCTAACCAGCCAGCCCTGCGGCCCTGAGAGCGCTCGATTTTAACTGTTTTCAGTACATTCTGCCGTACAGGTGGGATGGCAGATCGTCTTTTTTTTTTTTTTTTTTTTAAAACACTGATTTGTAAAGCTTATTTATCACTGAGCATTCAAGTCATTGCCAAGAGCAGTGAGGGGAAAATGCACCGCGCCGCAGGCAAGCACCCTAACTCACTCTTTCTTTTTTCTGTCCCCTTTACAGGCTGCGAAATACAAGCTGGCAGCTCTGCCCGTGGCAGGTGCAGTCATTGGCGGAGTGGTGGGGGGTCCCATCGGTCTCCTTGCAGGCTTCAAAGTGGCAGGAATCGCAGCTGCGCTTGGTGGTGGGATTTTGGGTTTCACAGGTGGAAAATTAATACAAAGAAGAAAGCAAAAAATGATCGAGCAGGTCTCTTCCAGCTGTCCAGAGCTTTCTTGCCAAAGTGCCAAAAAATCCAGCTGAAGGACAGACTCATTCCGACGAGGGACAAAAGCGAGGCGGCCGCGCTGACGACAGACTTGCAGCCTGATGCTTTACACACACACGGCTGAGGTGTGTGAATTTTGCCTTGGGAGGGGTGCAACGGTAACGCCAGAATTTCGCTTTTCGGACGTGGTGACAGCAGTCCTTCGCAAATTCACGTGGGTAACTTTTAATGAGGAATTCTTTAGGTGAGCTCCGTGCGCAGCTGTAACGATGGGCGACAGGCGCTTCACGCCAAACTTGCACGCAGCGTCTTGCAGAGATTGGGCGAACCCTAGTGCTTCCCCGTAACCGCCACCAGAAGCTGGAGCTTTTCTTCTGGAGCTCCAAAGAAAAGGAAATAGGCTCCATCTGTCTTCCATGGTCCTAATACTCTAAAATGACTTTATCTGGATTCCCAAACTCCTCCCGTGTCTCCCCCAGGACAGGACTGCTTGTGCCCGTTCAGTAACGCACGGGGAAGCGCTAGCTGCCGTAAGAGGAGGTGAAAACGCTGGGTGAGCCCTGTGGAAAAAGCCCATCTGTATATCCCCTGTCTACCTCCATCGGCCAGATCACATCAGCCTATTGAGCAGCTTTTCTCCTTTTTCAGGTACCTTTTTTTTAAGTCTGTAAACTCCTCATCTCGTTCAAAGCGTAGCTGAGATTTAAACAGGCCGAGCAGCCACCCTGCAGGGCTGCCCCGGGAGAAGAATCGTCTTCCGTGGCTGCTCAACGCTCTGGCTTGTCCCGGGAACACCGTACACGGTGAAAAGTGCCCAGCTCCGGCATTTCGAGCCTCGGCTTCCTTCGGCAGCCCTCGCTTCTCAGCTCCTGTTGCCACTCTGGTGGGAGAGGTAAAGAGCCTTCCGGGAAGGCGGTGCCGCAGCCAGGCCCACTCCCTCCAGAGTCTTTATGATCCCTCAAGGGTGGCGTTGGGCACCGGGGGCAAAGGGTGGTGGGGCAGCAAGGCCCGGTCAATGGTGCCATCGCCCATTTGGAAGAGGCCAACCTGATGCTGTTTGTAACAAGTCAACGGAGCTTGTTGGGGTCAGCCACACCCCTCCTGCGTGCGGTTCGGTTCTCAAACTTCGCTTCTGCCCGCCCTTTTCAAGATTTTGGGACGTGCTGTGGAGCCTGCCTGGGGCGAGACGCTGTGAGTGCTTTATCTAGCAGCTGCCTCTTCCTCTCGCCCTCCTTACTTTGCTGCTTAAGAAGCCTTTTGCTTCTGAAACTTTGTTAAATACAGAAGCGTTGACGCAGTCTTACTGTCACATGACTGTACTGTTTGTCCCATCACCTGCTGTTCAGCACGTGCTCCCACCTCCACCCTTCCCCGCTACTGCTGCTGCTGGGTGGGAGAGCAGAAATGGAGGCTGGGAAGCTGCTTTTTAAAGTTTTTTAGATTCTTCAGTTCATCCTGAGCTCTGCTTGAGGCCAGTTTTATTAGGTGACCGCTGAAGTCGGTGTTCAGCGCTAAGGCTCCCTCACGGGGAACGCTGCGTAAAGAAGCATCCTCTAGAAAGAGCTTTTCTTAAATCAGTACTGTGAGGGCATCGTTGGAAATAACAGTCTGCTGATGATGGGGGTTTGGGCCTAGAGACGCCGTAAGCAGCTGTTAGAACCGTTCAGAAAAAGGTCTTTATGCTGGATCTTCCTTGCTGCTTTTAAAACACGACTGAACTTGCCCTCAGTCAGAGCAGGGTGGCTGTTTTCAGTAGGTCTGAGGCTCAGGGAAGCCACCTGCGCAAGAAGAGCGTTCACACCTAATCGTGACCGTTGTCAGAGTGCAGGCATTGATGCCGCGGTGCCTACGGCTGTAAAACCAGCTGGCACGGAAAACCCGACGCCAGTCATTGGGCTCCTTTGCTCACGTTGCTCTAAATGCATCTGCTTCAGCTGTAAACAAGCTGTCGATGAGCGTGTAACGACGTCACGCTAAGGCTGTTCCTTCCTTTGATACGCGGTTTCTACATTTAAAGGAAGAAACTAAGGAAAAAAGTGTTCTTAATCAAACTGTGCTCGATTCTTTGTACGGTGTTAAAAAGCTGCGTCTGCTTTCCTACTGAAACCCCCTGCATTCAAGTGACAGCAGCCACCTCGGGGACGTGGCGGACTCCACCCTCTTCCCCCAAGCTGGACCAACGCCAGGACAATCTAAATTCCTGCCACAGCTCTCCCAAATTCAGCGTGGTTTGCACTCGTTTTATGGAACGTCTAGCACAAAAACTATTCTTCCTCCTCGCGCCTTTAAGGAAGCAATGTCAAACATGGGTGACTATTATTTAAGCTGTGGCTTTTTAAAGTAGGTGGGTTATTTCTGTCTGTGAAGAAACACGGGCACCTGAGTACCCAAACTAGCATTTAAAGGGCTGGGTGTGTTAGTCAGCAGAACTGTCGGACAGAAATGATTCTTTCAGACCAAATAAAAGTTTTTGCCTCTGAGCCTGGTCATAGCGTTTACTGAGAACGTGGGGGTTTATTTCCTTGCAGCATCGAAAAGGTTAATCCTTCAAAAATTTTATATTATTAAAATAATTGCATTACCAAGATTTAAGAATCCTGTCTTGAGTTACCAAACCCATGCTGCAGCTACTGAAATGTTTACATTGGCCAAAATGAATTCCTAAAATGTCACGTGCATCCAGTAACTCCTGCACGTGCACAAGCTCAAGCATGGGCTCCTTAAGCTCAATTAAAAAGAGAGTTTGGAACTGGGTGGGTCCGGAGCGGGGGTAGTAACACTGATACTGTTCAACGGTGTTGACGGGAGCAGCCAGCTGAGCACCAGCTGGTTAAAACCCTTGGGGTAGGGGACCAGGGTTCTCAGAGAGGGGCTTGGGGTGGAAGGGACCTCTAAGTCCAACGCCCAAGGCGGGGGTTGAAGGGCTCAGTCTGAAACCCATCTCCCATTTTGTCCAGCACTTGCTCTCCACCAAACAGCCTTTATAAATAAGAAACCCAAGAAAAAGCAGGAACCTCAGAGAGGCAAGACGAGTACTCGCAGGCACCCTGCAGGACCTGACTAAAATTAACACCTCCAGCAGCTCTGTAGCCCTGCCAGGAGCTATCCAGTGGCAGCCCTAAAACCATACCCTGCTCCCAGCTTCAGATTCCACCGGGAAGGTGGTACTTGGCTGCCAAAAGTGCTTGACTGGGCTTGAATGGGAACAGGAGAAGACATGCAAGTGCCTAAAGTGCACTCCACACCACAGATATAGACAAAACTGCCCCAAAAACATGCCTGTGAACAAAACCTTGCAGTGCAGGTAGGTACCAGTTCTGCATCTGCTCAGCAAGCTGTGGCTTAGGGCTGGTTGGCACCGGCACCTCTCTCCTCAGAGTCACCCCCTGCCTGGTGCTGCAGGGGCTGGATTCAGGAGGCTCCCTGGGGATCAACTGCTGCCCCAGCTGCACAGGACCACGTCAGCCTTCGGGCAATACCCACGCAGGTGGCACTGGCTGAGAGGCAAAAGGAGGCCCGAGCTGTCAACTGCAGAATTTGGGGGGTCTCGCTGCAGTAACCAAGAACCCCACAGTCCCCCTCTCCAACGACCAGGCCTGCTTCCAAAGACACTCCACCTTGGGGGCCCAAGTTACGGACCTGGATTCTTTGTAGGAAGGGCACCGTACAAACACAATACTGATTCCTCTCCAGCAACGCACCGCAAATTAACAGGTATTTTTCCATCTACAGCTTCTGTATGTTCATCTCATCAACCAGCGTGAAGATTCATCGAGAAAAGCCCATATTCTGGTATTATGCACAACAGAAAAGCCCAGGAGGAAAGCAGTAATTCCTTCTTCCGAGCAGAATTCAAAGAATACGCAATACAGGTGGCACAAGCCAGACAAAAAAAAAAGAATAACAGAAACTTTGCAAGGGTTGTTCAGAAAGTAAATGTCTGCCAGGAAGGCAGGGACCCAAAGAAACAAGGTTAAAAAAAGTCTACTAACATATACACACAGAGATCAGTTTAAGACTGACAACACTAAGACGGCAGCCCAGCTCTAGTCCTCTCCTACTTTGAAGGGTTTCCAGCATTCATGTTCTTTTAACACAGCCATGAGGATAATTTAACAGTCTCAGTAATTCCAGGCAATCCGAGCAGGTCAATACAGCCCTTCCCTGCAAAGTCCAGCTGTTACCATTAAAACTTCTCCTTTCCTCGCCTGGTGTTTTAATAGAATTGTTTAATCACTTGGACATTTCCACCCAGTAAAGCACCACACGAGATTCTGTAAAACTTTAATTTATTCCCCTCCCAAGTATCCAGAATAGAAGACCCTCTTCAGTTGGAGAAAAACGTGACAAAGAAATAGATTACCAGGATAGCTGTTCACATGAAGAAGAAAAAGCACATACTACCATGGTTACACAGAAAACAACCCAAAAGTCCTATTTAATGGGATAGTGCAAGTTAACAGCATGTCTCTGGCAAGGATACCTTCATCTGGATTATAAAAGTTTTACAGAACAGAGTTAGATCAAGAGTCTGGATGGGTCTCTGATATCTCACTCGAGCATTAGGAACGTACTGTTTGAAAGAAGCTGTACAGAAGGACCCACCAAACAAATGTATTTACAAGCCTGGGGAGAAAAAAAAAAATTATTTTTCAGTTTATTCAAAATAAAAATACACATAGAATTATGAAAATATAGGTTTACTATTTCCACCACACAGAAGTCAATGCTGCTGTCCGAAAGGCTTGCAAGATTATTTCAAGTTTTTAAAGTTCATCTTTTTCCCTCAATAAGGTGTACCTATGTTCACTGGGTGCCAGTTTCTGGAATGAGCTCTCTGGCGGGCTGCTTGCTAAATCCTGAATCGGCTGAAAAACAGAACAAACAGTAAAATTGCTTGTTAGACTCATTTCAATAACCAATCACCTCCATTAAAATGAACTTCTGATGTTAATTATGGGAGCACACGGATGTCCAGCGTTCTCACAAACTGAGCTGGTTGGGGTTTTGGCAGGCACGCTGTAAGTCCTAAGGAGGCGGAATACCCCACGCACACATACGTTAATTAAGCACCATCAGGATATTCCTTTTGTTGGCACGTCTCAAAGGCAACGGCCATCACACAAGTTTCTGCACAAGTGACTTCAAAGTACTCCCAAGGCACCGCGCTCTGCGCTGTCCGAGCCTACCTACGGCTCGCTTTGGCGGGATTCTGGTTTGTGCGTGCGCCTTTGATACACACCAGCACACCACTGCCAAAAGACTGTAGAATCCCTTTTCTATGGAAACTAAAACCAGCCCAAACACGCAATTCAAGAGCCATTCGTGACCGAAGACAGCAGCCTCCAGTCCCGCTGAGGCCAGTATCCCCATCGCGTCTTCCACAAGATGGCGGGACGCCGCACGGAGATGAGGGAGCGCACCCCCCCAGGGTCAGTGGGCGGGGATGGAAGCAAGAGCAAGCTCTAGGCAACGAGCCTGTGCCGAGACAGGCAGAGTCCAGGCTTCCTCCCTCCCTGGCCAAGCCTCCTCCCCATTGCAATGGCCTCAGCGTCCCCCTCGCACACGCCTGCCTTGCTCTGACCTATGCTTGCCTCCAGCCCTATTTTCTGCGTCTCCTCCTGTTGACCTTAATTCTGGTTGCTCAACAAATTCCCGAGAAACACAGGGAGTTACCAGTTAAATAAATTACTGCTGAGACAATTTGGCCTGCGTGTTTCCACGGCCAGCCACGACAACACTCAGAAGCAGTCCCTCTCCTGGCCCAAGGCAGGCCTTCCAGGGCTTTCACGCTTTTAAATACTTTAACAGGGCAACAGGAGGCTGCACTCACCTGGCTTAGAGCAGCGCTGCCCTTACCACATCCCACAGAAAACCAGGAAAATGAGCCTGTCGCTGTAAATAGTTTCTGTCCCTCACCTGTGGGTTCTGGGATGACCCAAGGCGCCCCCAACACAAGGGCACCAGGTCTCCTCTGGGACCAGCCGCAGACAACGCAACACAGAACTTCAAAGAAGTGTTTAAAAACAGTTCTTTCTTTAGAGAGTGCCCGAGGTAGTTAGGGGGTCACCTGATAGGCTGTTACATTGGCACTTTTCAGTGTGACACCAAGGATATGAGCTGTGTGGGGCATCAAGAAGACAGAAGACTGATTGAGACACATTTGGAAGACTGGGCTGAGCAAAGGGAATTGGGGCTGGTAATGTCCATCCTTTCTGCCTCTTGGATTAAACTAAACACTGAGGTGGCTCCTGAGTCTTGCCTGGAGAAGGATCTAGTAGTTGTGTTCCTGAAGAGATCCCAGGAGTGACTTCCAGCATGTAATTGCACAGCATCTGACCTTTGAGTGCAACAGTGGGGAATCCAGACAAATGCAGCCTGTGACCACTATTAATGCTGCTCGTTAACGGCATTAATGAAAGTAATAAGCCCTATTACCACTTCGCAATCTTTTGTTGATGCTGTAATAATCTGCCTCCTGCTTGGGTTGGTGACTACAAGGAAATGCAAAAAACATTCAACACACCTTCTCCTAGAGTGTCCAGTTCTGGGCCCCCCAGTTCAAGAGGGACGGGGAACTACTGGAGAGAGTCCAGCGGAGGGGAACTGATGAGGGGGCTGGAGCATCTCCCCTACAAGGAAAGGGTGAGAGACCTGGGGCTCTTTAGCCTGGAGAAGAGAAGGCTGAGAGGGGACCTTATCAACACTTATCAATATCTAACGGGTGGGTGGCAAGAGGATGGGGCCAGGCTCTTCTCAGCGGTGCCCAGCGACAGGACAAGGGGCAACGGGCACAAACTGGAGCTCAGGGAGTTCTGCCTCAACATGAGGAAAAACTTCTTTACCCTGAGGGTGGCAGAGCCCTGGAACAGGCTGCCCAGGGAGGCTGCGGAGTCTCCTTCTCTGGGGATGTTCAAAATATACATCCCTGGATATTCCTGGATGTGATCCTGTGTGACCTGCTGTAGGTGACCCTGCTTTAGCAGGGGGCGTTGGACCAGGTGATCTCCAGAGGTCCCTTCCAACCCCACCACTCTGTGATTCTGTGTCCCACTGGAAATAATGCATCTGAGATGTATCATCAGTTTTTGCACTGACATCACAGGAGAACATAAGAGCAACTCTATGAGCTCAGAACAGTCATCTAGCCCAAGATCTTCTGTTTCAGTTGAGAACATACATGTTCTTATACTCTTCCCTCATCCGAGGCAAACAGGTACCGTACTTCTCCCTAACGCTCTCCCTGCCGTTGCCCAAAGGCAGAGCCAAGCAGAAGTGGCAACGTTATGCTCCTGGACACAGATTTTTCTTTCAGGAGCCTGAAGGTAAAAGTACGCGCCTATGAGAAAGTACAGCTCTGACGAGGGGTAAAAATCGGTCTTGAGAAACTGGCCAAGTGAAATGTATTTGTTGTAACCTCACCTGTCCAGGTGCTACGTCCGTTGGATCAGGGCCATGATGAAACTCTCTATGCAATTTTCCAGAATGCAAGTCTAGTACAAATTGCTTCAGTTTACCTGGAACTCTGGAACAAATACAAGAGAAATACCCACACATTTATCACAAGTTCAGTCCAAACCCAGAAGATTTAAAGTGCACTGTTTTGAGTAGCCAACTTCTGTTTCTCTAGCACACTATGCCCGCTTTTAGGTGATTAATAGAGGACAGGAAGCCAAACGGTTTGTTAAGGTATCCTACCAGCTTCTTTTTCTTTCCACTGTCTCTTGAGAACACAGCAAGTATTTCATCTTTTCAATAACTCCCACGGAGTCGTACTAGCCGATAACTTCATTGTAGACTCACTTCAGCTCCCCACTAACCATAATGTAAGAGGGAACAGCAGGTTCCAAATGCACAGTTTACAGATACAAATGACAGTTGGGTAGCAGTATTGACAAAACATCTTTGAAAGCTCTCTAGTGCCTGAGCAACTGCAGACACGCTGGAGATAAGCACTAAGAGGATATCAATGTAAATCTAATCTGAGATCAGCTGCTGTCACCCACAGCAAACGGGCTAAACTACAGCATCCAGTTCTATTTGTGAAATGTCAGATAGACTAAAAAGCTTAAAATGAAGAGTTGATCTAGTAAGTATTAAAGATGAGATAAAAAACTATAACGTGAGCCCTGTGCATGCAATCCAAAGGTAACGTAGGAACGGAGATAGGTTTCGTAGGTTGTCTTTCATCAGCCCAACTATTGCAGAAAGAGGGACAAAGTGTGGGCAGACAGGCCATCAGCAGTATTTCAGATCATTAGGAAACTCTATGGATAAAACACAGTATCATGTAGAGCCAGAGGGTACCACTACAGCCACGCCTGTAACTACCCAGTGGCACTTTGTGGGGTCTCTTCACTGCCCAGAATTAGTACTGCTGGAGGGAAGGGGACTCATTCCAGCCTGGCTGTAGGGACAGAGAATCACTGCTCCCTGCTGGGCTCCTGCCCTGTTCTAGGGCAGGCACAGGGCTGGAGACAGGCCCCTCCAAGCTCTTCTCCTCTCCTAACGCAAGGGCGTTTGGGGCCTACAGCCTCCTGTAGCTCAGCCAGTTCCTGTTCAGAAGCTACAACCGATCCGTTGAACATCCCCTGCCATCGTTTCCAACCTGGAACAGCAGGATGAGTAGGGCCAGGTGGCCAAAGTATGAGGACAAGATATTGGGTGGTGGCCTCGTTTGCCTGGGAAGTGGCTATTCTCCGGAAAGACGACTCCCTAAAGACAGAGGAATCTTTTAGAGGGCCAGTTCTGCAAGTACCATATCCAAACCCCGTTGGTTGGTGGCAGCACTGAGATGACCAGAAACGGCCCAGGGCCAGTTTGTAGAGTCCAGAAAATGTACTAAAGCAGCAGAAGTCCTTGCAGGTAGATGGAAGTCTCAGAATTAAGATTTTACGTACTATTAAGAAAACGACGATGACATCAACAACAAACAACCACCACCAAAACAAAAATCCAAACCACACACACACCCCCACAGGCGAACAGGTATCACCCCAGGAGCTCCAAGCCCTCCTCGTTTCCAAACTGTCTGTTTGTCCTAGAGTAAGGCTGAATCATTATTTACCATTAAGCAACGGCCTACAATCCTGCTCTCACTCTCTCTCATCTTCATTTGTATGTGACAACGGGTACACAGACAAGCAAGTAGCTGTTATTATTCTGATAGTGTTTCACAGAAACAGAACACGTAAGAAACATAACATGAAAGTCTAAACTACACACCTCTCTTACCCCTGTAAGAGATACTAATTTACTTCAGGGCTGTTTCAAAAATTGCAATTAAAAAAAAAAAAAGAGTGCTTTCAAACTGCAAATATCCCTTTTTTTTTTTTTTAAAGTGCTGGCATGTGCGGTGAACATGATCTTCCAAAGAAACAGGAACACGGAGAGAAAAAACAGTCACTGTCGGAGTTTCAACATACATAGCTTCAGGTATCTGAAAAGCACTATTTGAGATACATCAGAGACTACATTCCAAGAATAAGGCCCGTGGAGAGTAGCTGGGAGAGAACCATCCTTCCAAATGTCAGCATTTCAGGTAGAAAAACACCTGCTGGAAGGGCCGAGTTAGACATGGGGTTACGTTCACCTTGTGTGCTAAGCCTGAGCTTTGAATCTTCAGCTTTGAAAAAAGTTAAATACCGAGTTTTTAAAAGTACGAATGGGCAAAAATTCACGCTGCAAAGCCTAGGACCTAACCAGGACCTACGAGCAGCGTAGATGCAGGTACCTCCAGTTCTGTCTCCAAGGAATTACCCGCAACCTGAAGAGAAAGAACATTTGTCTCACGCTGAAAGCCCCTGAAGATAACGTTTACACACCTTCACTCTTCAGCTGAGCCACGGGAGACCGAACATCTGCTTCCAAGGCAGTACAACAGAAAGACGGGCTGATGTGAAGAGGATTATGGCAGTGGTATTTCACCTAAGCACCCTGATACTTCCCTCTCACATATTTTACCCAGGTAACACGCTGATGATCAGCCATTTTTCCAAGCTGCACGTGGAAAATTTCAGAAACCTGCTCAACAAGGATTTCTCTGCCAGCTTTCCAGGTTTAGACTAATGCAGGAAGGCTGGAATCGCACAGCGGGAAAAACCAAGCCAGCCAGCTGGGAATTCTTACACGGTGCATTCTGCAGTAATCATTGCATAACACAGCACTTAAAACATCCCACGCAGCATTTGAAACCTTTGCAAGTCAATTGATATATATCTAGATCCCCACTACAAACACCACGCCAGGCTCCAAATGCTAACTGCTATGGAAAACAGCAAAAATCTGAAATAGAAGAAGAGCAGCATCTAAAAAGTTAACGTGAGATTCTCTTCTTGCATAAAGCGACGCAACTCCATTTAAACAGTGATGTCACACCATTTCCTATGGCTTTCAGGTGCCGACATTGAGTCCTACCTAGGCAGCCGTACCTATCCCAGATTAATTCATCTTCCTACCACGGTACTGCTTAAAATGTCTTTATTCTTCTCAAATTAAAATGCACAAAGAAAAATACTTACGACAAGTCACTGAAGTCTGGAAAGACGTACATGTGCCTGAAGCTGTCAATGGCAATAACGGGGCAGTCTGCTGGAGTCTTCTGAATGTGGAGGAGCGGGTGCCTGAATTTATCGCAGTCAGCGTGGAGGAAGTTTATTGTACCTTAAAATTGTGAGCAAAGATCCGCGTTACGCTTTTTTGATCATCTTGAAACCCTAACCGCTTTCAAAACTATTACAAAGGTGGAGATATTAGACAGGCACAACATGCAAAACTTGAAAATAGATCTAAATAACTAACGCCGCCAAAATAAGGGCTATTCTTCAAGTGCTTTTGGCCACAAGACAAACGGAAGTTTTGTTTAACGCCCTCTCAAACTGCATTAAGTCACTCAGGCAAGAAGGTTTCTGAAACAGTTCCTTACTAATAAATGTTGTACCTATTTGAACAGTTTTCAGAGGAGCTGGTCCTCACTGTCAAAAGTACCTAAAGCCCTTTGGTCTCAAGAGCTTTAGAGTTAGGATTCCACGTGGTCTTTGCTTCCACTCTACTGAGTTTGCCTGAAAAAAACGACACCAGTAAAAAACAAGAAGTAGCAGGAGTTACTACAAACCTTTTTCACTTATTAACTGTCGTGCAACCTCTTGTTGGAATTTCTCTAAACTCTCCAAGTCATCTTTCATGTGGAAAAGTATGAGAAAAGGAAGGCCTTCTTCTGTCAGTTCCTGCACACAAAACAAATGACAAATCTCATTTCTTCCATTTCTTAAGGGCACTTCTGTAAGACATTCCAGCCATTTTGAAATTCAGCGAGACCTCTACTTTCAGAACAGCTGAAAGGACTGAGGATGTTAACTGCTGACCATCTGAGATACCCGTGTGACACAGCCACCTTTCCTTCCTCTGTCACGTCCAGCAGATAAAGGATGAAGGTATTTCGTTGTCAACATTTTGGGAAGGGACACCCTGGCACTGGAATACTTGCTCAGAAGAAACAGCCCAATTCTGAGAGAACACATCGTCTTCATAGAAACACCAATAAGGCCAGAACTGCACGGTATTAAATGCTGTGAAAAGCTGAGGGGGTGCTCTAGGCCCAGTCCTATCCTGGGTCATGTAGTAAGTAGGTGTTTTCTTAGCATAACACAATGAGTGAGTATCTTAAATAATTCCACCTTAAAAAAAAAAAAAGAAAAAGAAAAAAGAAGCTAAAGACACAGCTGCATCAGTTACGACCCAGGACTGCTCTTTGCCAGTAACCGTGTCCTGACTGCTCGCACCAAATCGCACAGAATTGCACAGAATCACACAGAATGTCAGGGGTTGGA